TTTCTGAACGACTGCAGACTGTACTGAATCCACAACGAATATTAACTTATCCTGCCAGCTGGCTCTGTATTTGTCCCTTTGGTGGAATGGCGGCATGCAAGAAAGAACTATTTAAAGGCTCATGTTGAGAAAATATTCGCTTTGTAAATATTTTATGTATTTTCGTTAACGATGACTGGATTTCCCTCAAATCCTTTGCCCCTTTCTCCGAGCCGATGATGGATATCATGGGCTGAAACCGCAGCGACAACCAAAAGTCTTTGCATTACCTTACACCTGACATTTCGTTTTACCCCCCGCTGTCCAAAATATGAAACAGAATTGTCATAAGAATCTGCGGTAGGGATACCTGTAACAAATAATCGGTTTAAAATCTTTCGAGGAAAGTATGTGTTCTGCTATTTGAGATGTCAGTACTAATTTATTTGAATCAGATTACGGAATGATTAGCAATCAGTTCATTAAATTTCACTCAATCAAACTCAAACACGCCGCCACGCAGCCAAATAAACAGTACATTTGTGGTCGCCAACTTTCGGGAAACAGGGCGGGATACTATACATTGTTTAAATTTGTCATACAGTTCATTCTCCTTAGAAGTTCAAGATCTGCAAAAGTTGGCTATCACCCACGCAACATCATTATCATAAGGAAAATACACACAGGCAGCAAGCTGCTGTTAAATGACGTCTTTTGTTTGAGAATTTTTCTGACAAAAGGCGCTAGTTATCAGTTGTCTCCCTTATGCTACCTACTTATGCTTAAGCTTTACGGGTTCCCGTAAAAACTAGTCCTAATTAAAGGTTCAATATAATTTGTGTGAGTTGAACCGCAGAAGAAAAAAAAACACAAATCAGTGCGGTAAATTGATCGATCTTCTACAATTGTAGAAGACCTTTACCTTTACTTTTGTATCCTTTGGGTACCTGCTCTTCGATCCTAGACTGAACAGAGTTAAAATTGGAAAAGCTCAGAAGACTTAAGAGCGCTAAGTGCTTTTGCTAATTACAGACAGGTTTAGTTTGGTCTAGTTCCTGAATACCTGTTTGATCTCGGAGCTTAATACTATCGGTCTGGCACACAGTGTGTTATCATGTCATTTCTTCTCAGACTCATTAATAATTCAAAAATACTCCGCTTCAACTCTCTTCTCGGTGTTTGGAGATGTGGTCAAACACGGTATTTCGTGTTTGATATACCTTTTAAACACATGTTCGTTTGCAAGTAGACACCTCGAAAACCAGCTTATAGCCGTTCTCTTTCTGTTCACGTAGAGATGACTAAGAATTAAAGGAATCTCTGTCCTGGAGTGTTGCCAAAATACCGATAGAGGGACTAAGGGAAATCTGGCTAAAAATCCTGCGATATCAGGTGGTTGATACGTTATCATAGCATATCAAGAAGTGGAGAAGGTTTCTGACTACCGCGTGGCACGAAATTTTTGCGGAAGTTTAATCTTTGCGGATCGGCGATATTTTTTTATTTTGCCGGGCTTTAATTTTTGCGATTTTCAGAAAGTCGCGTTTAATTAGAATTTCAACACTTTCGTGTGTTTTTTTTTTCGTTTTACTAAACTACATGCAATCGTCAAGTCAAACAACATGTAGAGAGATAAAACATTGACGATAGTCGATGTTACTCTGTTACACTGAATTACATGATCCCGTCAAAGTGTTGCTGATTGCTCCGACGGCAGATCAGTAATAGCTGCGGTACCACTTGATGCATTATTTCTCGAGTTATCGCCTACTGGCACTTTCTTTTCCACACCGGTATTTTGCCAACAAGATTCTACATGTGATGTTTCTGTGTATAATTTCGCCAATGAAGTAAATTTCCTGAGGAGAAAATTGTTGCGGGAACTTTTGTTAACGGGAATTTTTTTGCTGATTATGTAAAAAAACTGCAAAAATCGCGAAGCATAACTATGCCACATGGTAGTTAACCATCTGGTAACTCAATCCTGTAGCAGGGCACATACACCGGTGTTTTTACACTCTTTTATAATTTTAAAAGATTAGTGAAACAGGAAAAACAGCTGGCAAACTTTATAGTTTCAAACTTTAATATTTGATTACAACTGCTGTGGGTAAAAACCACTACAAATCGTATTTTACGTAGGATTCCGAAGCACTGATCTTGAAGAAACTCAAGGAAAAAAATAATCTTGATTTTACACAGCGTGAACTCCAAGCATCAAAAGTTACAATTCAAGTTTAATGTAACTTCGTCATAACGGACTCAGAGGCTATCCAAAAACAAAAAACAGATCATTTCTTGATACTTTTTTTTTCTAGACTTTCTATCACTTTGTCGATTTTCATCGAAACAAACAACTTGCACTTTATTTGTTTGTTTGTCATATAAACAAAGTTTCCAGATTGAAAAGATTTGGCGCTAATCCTAACCAAAAAATACAAATTACATATGAAATACTGTAGTGGAGTTCTTTTTTTTTCAACTCTGGGGCTAGAATTACCCCCGTATAGTATTAATTGTTCGATTGAGGGGACGGAAAAGATTTTTTGCTCGAATAATCGGGAGGTTCGAAAAATCGAGGGTTAGAGAAATATACGGATTACAGTGTGCTCAGTAACAAGTCAAAAACAGTTGAAAAAAAACCTTATAACGTTACTCGGGTTTTCATTAATCCTTGTCTTCTTCTGTAATCTCCCTCTTAAAACCGGCCAAAAATGACCGAGAATCTCGGCACACTTACAAGATGTCAAAAACTAATTAATGAGAACTGACTGAAATAAAATATTAGTCTATTTTATTTCGTTTCCTCTTCGCTTGCCACGTGCTTTGGTTGTTTAAGATCTTGAATGACGAATTCGTTGTAGTTTCAAGTCGAGCCGGCTGCGTAGTAACACTTACTGTGGTATTGATTGAAAATTCTTGTGACGTAACAGGCATGGCTGTGGTGGACTGGGTTGGAGCCGCGGTTGTTGGGGTTGGGCAATGTCGGTGGCATTCTGAAATCTTGTTGTTATAAACTTTCTTTAAGGAATCCCTGAGAACATAACCAGTAGTACTTCACTTTAGAATCAGACCCTGTCGTTTATATGGTATACCCGTATCATATCTTGTCACGCCATATCCTTTTGTGTCATGAAATTTCATGTCACCATTTAAGGTGACAGTGTCACGGGTGACTGTCACAAGTTCTCTTTCCTACACTAAATTTCCATGTCATATTTCCAAGCGTCACCAAATATAGCTAAATATACAAGAAAAAGTGTCTTGGGGAAGAAGATCAGGATTACAATTCAGTAAATTTGATTTTGTGACAGGATACCGGGGGGGTGTGACTCCCATATAAAAAGGACCGGGGAGCTCGTCGAAAATTTTTAAAAAAACTTTTAAGAGGTACCAAGATCCTGTTCTGTGGGCGTGGCTTGAAATTTTTTTTCACCTCTAAGAGGTACCGGTGTAAATGAGACAAAATTCAAAATCATTTGATTGTCACATTCCTCCTGTCGCATTTTTTCGGCCTAATAACCTGAAAAGTACCGCGAAAGGTCCCGTTGTGAATCTTTTAAGGCTGAACACCCTTCGAGTTACAAAAATGCTTTTTTAACCCCTAGAAAGTACGGCGAACACCCCCGTCCTTTTTGCGTGGGAGTCCCTCCCCAGAGACAGGATGTCGAACAACGAAATTGCCATTCTGGTAAAACTTTGACTCTTTTGGTCATCATGTTTCTTTTTTAGATTATACTCCCCTGCTTTTGGTGTTAATAGACATTGGGAAGATTGTTGGATTGTGGAGTTCCATTAAAGCAAAATACAAGGCTTGTAAATTTACCAGACATATGGATATCTCATATAGCTGTAGGGCATTCTCAAATGATCAACCAACAGTCCACAGCGATCGTAAATCAACATATCGTCTTTCTTTCCGTCAAGCATTGCCACGATGTCTTGGTTGGCGGGCTCTTGGTAGACTGGGAACGACACTCTCTTTTTCAACTCGGAGATTGAGGTAGCGGATTTTTTCATGTTCAGAATCATGAAGGTAATGTCAGTGATATTCCTGTAAGGGACAAACGCTGCCATGTTACAAATGAGACTGGCTGACTAATGGGCTAATGGTCTGAAGAAGTTGTTTTCGTAGTTTTACCGCTAAAAAACCTCAAGAAAAGTCAGTCTTTAACGTCGAATGAATGAATGAATGAATGCTTTATTTAACGTGGATATACGCTTAGCTTGAGAGCTAGTTAACTGAATAACTAGGCTATAATTCGATAGTAGCACTACTATTACCACAAGAGCTGCTCAAAAGCGTCTCGATGAGGTTCAAAGATGATTTCCCGTCCGTGCTGTGCAGTCTCAGCACCGAAATGTTTGTGAGTCTCTGTCGATGGAATGCGAATCGATGTTTTCCTTACGAACCGCTTATCTTATCTTTGAGGCATTTTAAATTCTTTTTCCGACAGTTTCTTCGATTTTTACAGCACGAATTTGTTTCATCAAGTAGTATCAGAAACATCGAAGCATAAATTCATGAATTCACTTCCTGTAAGTAGTTGCAAAATGTTACATTTTGTGACTAAATTGATACCTGAGAGTCCATTGGTCAGAATCGGTTTAACTGTCAGCTGAGACACCTCGCGTTTTCAAAGTGAAAGCGATGTGATCTGAGATTTCAATATTTAGTGACAGCTGAGAAAATAGCCGAGATTTTAACTGCGATAGAAGAGAAATCGCCGAAAAGTTATCTGATAAATGATATTCTTACACCCAGTAGCCGCGCTAAAACCGGTCATATTGCGACTGAGTAGTGTATTGTACTCAGCAGATAGAATGAGTGTTCTGGCCCGGGGTCACCGAGTTCCGTTCTTTGGAACTTTACTCTGATATTGTCTCTCTGCAGATGCGCACAGGTGATTGTTTTACGGTACCTTAACAAAAACTTTGGCTAATCTGCAATTGACTGTTTACGTGTTTCGCACTGGATAAAACGCACTTTTCGTGGTCAAAACCAGTATTACCTTTCTGTCCGAATTAGGTTTTCATTTCCGCTGTGCCCTCCCGAGGGGTTTTAACTTGAATTCGGAAAGGTTGACATTCCAGTTTCAAGGAAAAAACGTTTGGCATGGCATTGCGTTTGGTCAAAAAGTTGAACAACGATTGAAGCTAATGAAAATAAGCAAAAGCCACTGCAGCAGGTTCGAGTTCCAGTCGCTTGACTTCCTGAGTCGCGTTACCTTTTCAGCAAGAGTAGTCAAGCAGTCATACCGAGGAGACGGGGTAGAGGAACTAACAAAGAGAGAAAACTGAACAATGCTTGTCTTGCGCTCTATTGAGGATCTCTCGCTTTGTCCAATAGACCAAAAAAAGGCCGAGGAGATAATGCCTTGGTTGGGTAAACGAACGCAAATAGTCTGTGCACAGACGTTTATTTCTTTTGCTAATAGTTATTTTTCTTCGAGCGCTCGAGAGCGGCCGCGAAGCATGCGGAAATGGGAAAAGAAGTCCACAGACCCTCTATATTTGTCTTTCCCCAGCCCCAACCCCTTGCGTTTTGGCTCATTTATATCCTATGCGCTGGGTTAATTAATATTTTGCTAAGCTTGCGATCTCGACAAACTCAAGACAAAATAGAGGGTCTGCATGCGGACAGACTGCTCACCTCTTCACAACTATTTCTTTGTACATGAGGTTCATCCGCCCAGCCTGCCACTGACAAAATCGTCAGCTGGCGAGCATCACTCCCAGGATTACCACGTGACCCTTCGATCGTGCCTCAGCCAATGGGTTCAGCTGACCGATCATCCACGAAGGTGGGCGCTGGCATATCCTTTTTTATCCCTCTGTAAGTACCAAGAACGAAAGCGAGGCAAGCAGGAGCTGGGTCGCAACTGCTCGCATGGTCCGGCTGAAATAGAAAAACATATAAATACGAATATACCAATGTGGTTGTCATACTCTGTCTCAAACCTAAACGGGAACCCTCTTTTTGAAAACAACAGTCTTATGCAGGGGAGCACAGACATTTCGCCCCTTCCCGTGTCCCCTGTTACCGTTCTCACCAAGCATACGTGGTCTCCTCGCGAGGCGCGCGGGTTTTAATTTCCACCAAAGCGCGTTCCTTTTCCCACTCGTTTCTCAATAAAACATTTTCAAGAGAAAGGAGGGATTGTTTTGCAGTGTGATAAAAACGTGTATAAAGAACCAAGAGGCCATGTCCTTAAATAGCTGACATTTTGCTCTCACACACGATAGCGGACATTAGCAATCTTTCTGCGCAGAAAAAGCACTGATGGGAAACATTTACCTCCCGTTGATGGTTTTTAACCGATTTCTGCTCACATACTTACGTAATTCGATTTTGGTTTTAAAGGTAACCACCACTGGTTGGAAACGTTACGTAATGGACAGAGATTATGTCCGTAACAATTACTGTATACTGTGCTTCTCTGTTCGTGTTGAAAACTGCTTAAAGGTCATTAAATAGCAGAGTTTTCGCAATTCGTTTGTTGAATGACTTTACAGACTTACTCAAAACGGACTTGTCCTGGATCCAAGAACAAGGGACCGAACTTTCAACGTCTATGCGCTGTTTGCTGTGTACTCTTGGCTCAACACACGGGTAAATTCATTCGTACGGAACGCGACACGCTTTTTGGTGATAAACGACATGAAGGTCACATATGGTAGTGTCTGTGATACATCATACGTGGGGTCAGCGTGTTGCGTGACATCCTGTGTAACGAATGCCAACGAGACCATAAACTGTGATTGAGCGTTTTTTCTCTGGGGAGAGAGGGAGAGGGAGGGTATGACCATAGGCAAACAGCTCTACATCTCTTCTCACCTCATCACCAAACAAATTTTCCAACTCTTGTCAAACAATTTGTGGAAACATGTATCCTTTCAGAGAAGCCAGCCAACTCCAGGTCATTGTCCCTCCTTTTGCTTACAGAGATGTTAAGTGTCTCGTGTGTTTCTACAAATCTCCTTTGTCTAGTAACCCTTTGACTTCCGGTCTCTAGCTTGAGACATTTTACAAGTAAACAGCTAAATTCTCATTCACTGACTGCTACATGTCCTTGAAAAGAGGTTCTGAGAGTTTGGAGGTACATCAAAACAATATCTCCTAGCTTAGAGGAAAGCCTCAATAATGAGCGAAGGCTTATTAGAGAACAAGAAAGGATGGCTAATTTAAAAAGAAAGAGTACAGAAGAAGGGCAATAGAATGGGTAGTATTTACAGAAAGAAACAAGGCCCAAAAAACAAACACAATTGGTCGACTTAATGTTTAATTTTAATTCCTTTTATGAACTGTTTAATATATGGTCTTACATCAGGAAGACACACTTATTTCTGAAAAAATTATTATATTATATAACTTATTTTTAACCATAACTGTATGTTTGACAACTAATGTATCAAAAACATATTTCAACATGGTACAGCTTTCACAAACTTCTCCATACCATTGAAATCTGTACTGTCATTTTTCCTGTATTACAGCTGAAAAATCAGGTGGTTAATTATATTTTTACCAACAATTAACAGTCTATATCATTGATATAATAGAAACATGCAAATTATAATCTTTCCCTACCTATGATTTAACATGAATGATTCGATAAATAATTTTTATAACTATCTTTATATCCATTGCAACAATCGCACTCGTATGTAACACAATGACACTGAATTTCATGCAACTTGGTGTCACGCAATCAACCGTGACAATAAAAATCAACATCAACTTGAACAGCCTAACACATATTGCCAGTACATTGTTCCAGTAATGAAATACGGAAAATTCAGAGAAGGACAGTCAGCGTTTGTATTAAACGAATATTTATGCATCGTGGAACTGTTGTGATTGCGTGACGCCTACACTGTGTGGTTCAAGGCAAGTTTGTGCTGTCCAAGAGCAGTGTGACTTTCAAAAAACCTTCCACACCGCACACAGGCCCAGTGCAATAGCTCCTCGCTGTGTTGGTTCAAGCTCACTTTGGTCTTGAAGCTCTTGAAGCAGACACCACAAGTGTACAGCACGTCGATGAAGCGCGAAGGATCTCTCAGACGCCCTGTACGAACACAGTAGATACGCTGTAAAAACGCTTGCCTCTTTTGATACCAGACAGTATAGCTGAAATGGAAGCCGTATTCAGATCCAGAATATTCTGACAACTCCGAATTTCTACGGCCACGTCGCCGTTCCACCATGCAGCGGAGAACAGCGAAGTTTTCTTCTCTTCTTTGCAGACGATCTTCATGGTGTCTGGAGTAGGGATGGAAGCGCTTCCTACACAGTTTTTTGTGTTTCATTTTGTGGCCACTGTAGTGCTGTATACTTCTTTCATAGTGGTGTGAATTTTCCGCTCGGTTCCATCTTCTGGGCATTTCTTGTCGAGCAAAGCGAGACCTCGGTTCATCTTCTTCGTAGTAAATATTCACCTCCTTGGAAGGACTACAGCGTGTTGTTATTTGCAGGTTGTCGCCTTTCCAAGTGAACGAGCGCTTGTTTTCTGCAAGAGTTGCAGAGCCATACAACAAAGACGGATACTCAAAGACATTTTCCACGTATTCAATCCTCTTCGTCTTGACAAAACGACATTTTCCAACCTTTTCCAGCTCTTTTAAGACCCAGAGTCGTCGGTTGTTCAAAGTGTACCATTCCCACTTCTCTGGGTAAAACACGACTTCTATGAGCGGGATATCCTCCAACAAAATTTCTCCATTCTTTATCTGAGTGAAGGTCTCCTCAAGGGGAATGCCATTATCAAACTTCGATACGAGAATGTTCTCAGTAAAGCGTATTTCTGAAGGCTTCAAAAGCACAAGGTACGTGAAATTCATTTCGAATATTGCTTCTGCCAGACGGACTGAGATGATTGAGGTGATAAACAAATCGCGCCACGTGCGAAGATTTGCCGCGAAATATTCCCAGGGGAGTCTGGTAGCCTGTAAACAAACAAAGGTCTCCGTAGTGGGAGGGGAGGGGCTAAAAAAAAATGTTGATAGCACTTAATTATTTTTTCAATTCTCAAATCGACTTAGAGTTTATCTTATACGATAAATTTGAATGGACGTCATTGAATGGATGACTCGACAACGAAAACTGAGCAAAAATAGCTTCTCTGACAGTCGTTTTGACAAAGACAAAAGAAAGTACAATAAAGACAATATAACACGAAAGAATAATTTTAGGAGAAATTTTCAAAAATCTGCAAAAATAAACGATGGGAAATGTGTTAAATATGGGACTACAATGAAGGAAAAGAAATTTGAATTGAAACTCAATGCAAAATAGATTCCCTTGTGGAGATGGGTGGGTACTTTTTTTTTCCTCTGAAGAATGAGGTACCCAGTCCCCCTCACAATCTTTCTTGGAAACGGAAGGTGAAAAAACGGTAAGGTTGGCGTTTGAACGTAGCAGAATGCAAGTACTTTCGTTACTGTTAATCAGTTTTTCCTCTCTGGTTTGTCGATCACTTGGACAGGAAGGTAATTACAATGAAGCTGAGCAGTCCCTTCCAGGAAATGAGTGGTTGAATCCGTGGGACATGATCCACTATGATGCGGCAGCTCAATCGTTCGACAACACGGTCAGTTTGCCTTTAATTTCACATCTTTTCATTCCCTTGCCAAACTAAAAGTTGAATGTTTTCTTCGCTGAACCTGCTAGTCTTTTAAACGTTACGCTTTTCCTTTCACTTCTTATTGTTTTCCTCGTTTTCTATCCCGTAAACTTCCTTGCAACTCGATATGCAAACTGGTTTACAGTGGAGACGCTATAAGCGGTTTTCGAAATACGGGATATTTGGGTAAAAAATTAACAGGATGCAGAATATTTTGGGGAAAAATCAATGGGATATTTAGATCAGATAAAACGGGATATCGAGTAGAAAACTCTTTAATTTTTGCAGTTGGAGTCGGGATATACAGGCCAAAAATGATCAGAAATTACTGCAATGTGGGAGCCCCCTAATTTCGGGTCTCACAATGGAAATGGAAATGTGATTTAAATGAAGGGTGCTGAACGCCATGGCAAACATTTTGCATCTACCGTGATCAGAAAGATACTGTAGGGGGTTTTACTAAACTGGTGCACCCTGAGTGAGTTTTTGTTACAAACATCAAGAAGTGAAAAAATAGTTTAAGTGCAAAAATGCTGTGACATTGGCAGGGTGCAGACACCAGACTACATTTAGGCCTAAATAGCCCTCTAGTTAGCCTGAACATTACTCGGGTTAGCCTGAACAGCACTCAGGTTGGCTTGAATAGAGCTCAGGTTAGCCGTCTTACGGTTCAGCTCTCACTAATGGAAATGGGAAAACAATATTATTTCATAAGTCTGCAATTGTCGCACACCAGTGCAAAATCACCTTGTACAACTTCTTGTGATCGATATAGACAGCAAAAAAATCAGTGATCATCCTAAAATTCAAACCAACCAATCAACAGACACAGAGATGAACAGACAAACACTTGGTACCATGTCAGGAACAGTAAAAAGGTTTACATAATAGAGTTTAAAGACCTATCCAATAGCCCAGGGCTAGTGTATTTTGCAGTGGGGCAGTGGATTCTGTCCTTTGCCTGTCCAACAGGCAGTGGAAGTTTTTTGAGGAAAAGGTTTTGAGAAAATTCAAATACTGTAAGAGATGAAACTATTGTTTTTTGGGAGCTAATGAGAATGACCTTTGGGCTAGCTCACCATAGTCACAGCTTGCCCAAAGCTCTAGTGAAAGCTCGCTTATTGCTTTTCTTTATGGTCTGTATACGAACCAAGTGGCCCATTAGGTCCTTAACTTGGTTTCAGTAGCCCTGGATGGGATGCTAGTCCATCGCAGGGTTGTCCCACAGCTTTAAGTTTGCCGATACCCATTTATACACCTGGGTGGAGAGAGGCACTGTGATCTCCTGCCCAGTAAAATGTCTTGCTCAAGAACATAGCACAATGTGCCTAGCTAGGGCTTGAACCCAGACCGTGTTATCAGCATGCGAGAGCACTAACCATGACGCCACTGTCATATAACAAATTATGTACGTTTTTTTACAATCAGGGAATAGGTGTAAAGGATGCCGCAGCAAAACAATCTGATCATGACAAACTCCAAGCAAAGCTATCGCAGTGCTACAAGGACTTGGAAAAATCACCTGTAAAATGTCAGGCCTGTGCTGAAAAAACTGTTGCCAATGCATCACCGTGTGACACTCCATACTTCAAAAAAGTAGTCAGAAGCATACTAGGGAATCTTGAAGATCGTGGAGATCATGAGGTTGTGGTGACTGCTTCAAAAGATAATGTTGCAACTCTGGAAAAATTTGTCAAATCAGACAATGGAAACGTCCAAGACGTCTGTGAGGTGATCATTGGCATTGTATCTAATTTTAAAGGCAGAGACGATATGTATGGTTTTGGTCAGTGGGACAATTCATCATTAAGTTATATAACTAAAGAGGCAATTCTTATCTTGGCATCTCTGATTTTGGTGATTTGTGCGGCCATTGTTTTTGAGACACGCACAAGGTTAACCTGGCGGACCCAGCTCTGGGGTGTACTGTTCATCTGTTTTATTGTCAGCATTCCTTGGGAGTGGTATCGTTTATACAGAAAAGCATTTGCTTCCAAACAAGCACAGATGGAAAAGGAAATTCCCAAACATTGCCGGCCAGATCACGAATTACGGCCATTAGAGTCCCTTACACTTTGGTTGAAAAATTCATTTACCTTTACTGACGACACTTGTGTAAAGTACCAGGAGATGTTACTTGTTGACCCAATTTGGGAAATTTCTCCATCAAAAGTAAGTTCACATTGATTCCCTTGTACTCTGTTACTTGTTTCCAAGTTCTTAATTCAGAATTTTCTAATGTTGGTGAGTAATACTTATTTTTGCAACAATAATATTGAATGGGTTGGCTTCATTCATACTCTAGTCATCCTAATTCAATTGACTTACTAATAATTTCAGAAGTGTAGCAGCTCTCATAAGCTTGTAACTTTTTTTGCTTGTTAGAAGCTGTTGTTGTTTTGGGGCTAGGGGCATTGTTTCTGTTGTTTGTTTGATTGTCCTCTCTAAGGGCATCAAGCCATTCATGTCATGGGTTTCATTAAGGGCCACGCACCAGGCAAATTGACCGGTTGTGAGGACAATTTTGTCAGGCTGGTTTGACCATCTAGTGGAAAGTTTTTCTTTCTCTTTTTCCACCTGTAAAAACCAGTTACCCTCCTGCTGAAAATGTTAATGAAACCACTGTCATGTGAGACCTCATGAGAGCTGCTACCTCACCCTGATTTGTTATTTTATGGTTAATACCGTATACTACCACTTATAAGCCCTGGGCTTATATACTCGAGCTTCATGAGAGGTTTAGGATGGGCTTATAAACAGAAGGGCTTATATCTGAGAGGGCTTATTAGCGGACTAAGAAAACTGTCTCAAAATGAACCAAATGTACAACAGTGTTGATCGCAATATGCGTTTCAATATACTGGTTCTTAATTTAGATTTAAAACAAAAAAAGTCATCATAATAAATCAATTTCATTTTATTTTAAACTAGAAGAGGGCTCATACCCAAGGACCTTCATTCAACCACAATTCCAGAACTTTCGAAACGAAGGCAATGTTTCTGGAAAACCTGCAAATTGTTGAATAAGAGCAGCAAACCATTTATTATATACAAAAATTCTAGAAATTCCTGGTGTGAAATTTTTGAAATTTCAAGAAATACCTCACTAGGTTCTCCTCTTTTCTGGAAATCCTGAAAAATGCTGTTCTATAATGGTTGACCACTAGAAATGTTTGGAAGTTCAAACCAAACATTTTTTAGTAATATTAAGATTCAAAATTTGCCAGTAGCCAGCAATTTGGCTACATACAGACTTAAATTATTTGCTGCACATTTCACACTGGAGATCACAAATCCTGACGAATAACAAATCCATCTGTGACCTTTCCTGGCTAATACTTCTGTTCTCCTGCCAGCTACCAGCAAAACATTTTGACAAGGCTGTACATTTAATGTTCTTATGGGAAGCTTGGTACACACATAAAAATAACTGATTAGAACAGTACTGTGATTTTGTCCGTAATAATTGCCAAACCTTTGTAAACTCTCTACAGGCAATATCTGCAACAGTAGCCAGTATTATCGCACAACCATTTGAACATGTTGCAGAAGCCATTGGCAAAAGTTTTCGTGCATTGTTCAGAGAGGTCCCTCTGCAGTGGCAACCATTTGTGTTCTTGGCAGTCATCATCATTATCATTATTGCCATGTTTACACTAAGTGGATTGCAAGTGAAGTTGCCATTTATGACGATCGCTACTGTCCCAGCCCTCCCTGGAAATGTCCAGGGAAATCTTCAAAGGCTTGAAAACCATGTTCAAAATGTCGAAGTGGCCGTACAGCAGTTAAATAATGATGCACGTCAGAGAGATGCAATTGACCATGCTCCACTGCAGGAGAACATTAATCAGCAGCAAGAGCAGATTCTTGAGCTTTTGAATGCTATGAATGAACGGCAACGGAGATGGGAAGAGGTAATGAGACAAGACATGCCTGCAATTCAAGGTGGCAACCAGCCAGTTCAAGGTGGCAATCAGCCACTTCAAGGAGCTCTGGGTCCTGCAGCGAGGGGAGTGGAGCGCATCAGTGCAGAGGAACAGAGGCCTGAGAAATGCCCTGTCATGGAGTCACCCAACATTAAAACCCCTGCTCAGAATACAGATCATGACATCAAGTTTGGTGTAGAGGATGTAGGCTCTTCTGAGTGTACATGACATTATTATCAGCTGAACTTGATAAGGAAAAACTTCATTAGACAGATTCAATCATCAGGCATGCAGAAATAGTCTGGGTGTCCTGTCAGTAAATTATCAAGAGTCTGTGTAATCAGAATGTCTCAATATTTATGAGGCAAAGAAGCTTGGAAATAGAGTGGAAAATGCATGCAAAATTTATATAATGGCCTTAAAATGTTGAATCAAATGTTTGTTTTCAAAACAATGGTATTGTGTCTGTGCATAGCAAAATCCATCATCCCTAAAAGTTCTTTTTGTCTGAACAGAGAAAATCAGAGAACTGACCTGCCGCAGACTAATGCTATAAAGTGAGTTGATTTTATGTATTATTAATAATTAATATTCATGCAAACATTTGGATCAGAGTTAAGGGTCCCGATAGGAAGAGTTTTACGCAACAGTGACATGTAGGCATGTGGGGTCCTCTTTAAGGAAGTATGAAGCTGTGATTTGCTTACATTTCAAAAATTTCAGTTATGCAGTACTAGTTTAAATGTAGCATATCTTAAGCAAAACTGACCCATTAGCCCCTGGGAACTATGGAAAAAAGTGATCTAAAGCAAAAGGAACTGATAGATTTATAAAAATAATGCAAGAAATTTGGGTTTTATGGATGTAATTTTGCTGATTATGTAACAGTTTGAAAAGACTGTCTGTTCTGTCTGTTGGTAGGGTCACTTGTGTTTGTGGATGAAACACTGGAAAAACATGTGATATAGAAGTATATATTTTCTGAGCTTCAAAAAACTGTTTTTGGTTCCTTTACCCCGGAATCAAGAATTTCAATAATTTATCTTTGTTCAATGTCAGTAAGGGTGCTTTCCATTATGCCAAAGATTCCAGAAATTTTTTTCAGAAGTCAACAAAAAAAAATGGAAAGTAAGGTCCGTTTCAGTTGCCACTGGTCTTGACCGGTCGGTCTGGCATAATTAAAGTACCCCAACACTCAAGAACTTTAAGTTTATGTAATGGCGAGTGCTGTCAGTAGTGTCAATTATTATAAATTGTTTATGAAGGGGGAAGGTGGTAGATGTACCCCCAATTACTTGACTCCACACATTATAACACGAGCACCATTGAAAACATTGCCCAGCGAGGCCAAGATTCCCTTCACTTTCTGCTCAGTGAGAATCTGTCTCACAGTGTACCAACCTATTGGAAAACTGACACCAAAAAATGAAAAATCATTTAGACAAAAGGCTCTGGTACTTTCGACAAAATAGTTTTATTAGCATCTTAGTTGAAATTCTACAAATTGCTAATGTTTATCTCATAGTAAGTAAATAATAGCTTAAGTTATTTCCTTAAGAAAATAAATGGTCTATTTCCTAGAAGACAATCGTACTTCTCTTTCTACATATTTCAATGCCTCTACTTTACATAAATTCCTTTCTCCATAATTTGAAGTAAGGCCTTTTGCCTAAGTTGATCATATGAAATTGCAACTACATCGCATATGGTGGAAATCTCCCTTACAACCACTTTTGGTGACCTGAAGGAAATGCTTTGACAGTCAGATTTTTATTTGAAGAAAAAAAAACAGACTGCAAGAATTATACAATAGCACAAGAATTGACAGCAATCTACTGTGAAATAAGCAAATAGTTTTCTCCCGTTAGATTTAATGACTTTGAAGTGAATAGAAGTTTGAGATGTTTTTCTCAAGAACTCATCTCTTCATAGAAAAAAAAAATTAAATAATTCTGTAACAACATCAATGCCAAGATTCCCTTTCAGTAAAATTTACTTGCAATTAATTCAGGGATAATGTCAGTTAATGCTATTGACATAAATATCATCAAGAGTCAAGACTGAAAGATGACTTTCTTTCATTCATTGTCTCTGAGTAAGAATGAACTGTTTCAATGAAGGTAGCAAGTTTTTCAGGGTCATGATCTGGATGCATCCCGTGGCCAAGATTAGCAATATAACGTTGAGCACCAAACTTCCTCAACATGTTCTTGACAGCATGTGCTAAATCCTCCTGCATTTGATGACAAGACAAAAGAGTTCAAATTAATCATGGTTTTTTGCAGTCCGTTTCCTGTGATTGTCTTCATAACTTTTCACATAATTTTGTTGAGTAAATGCTGTGCCAATAGCAGTGTCCCTTTTCATGACATATTCAGTTTGCATTGTTCAAAATTACTCAATTTAAGTGAAGGAAATCTCAAAATGATAGTTACAAAGGTAGAAATACAGCCCAGATTGTGAAGTTCCAGAAAATATCCATACTCCCCCCACAGAAGGGATTGGAATTTCCTGGGGGGTAGGGGTTCTCTAAGACCAACAATTTTAAAGAAATGTGTGAAGCTTAATTGGAATTTCCAGAAGGGTGAGGGAGGGGGTCCCTCCCACGGGGGAGGTATGGATACTTTCTGGAACTACACATTATAGTAGACCAAAAAGGAAAAAAGTTAATTGCTCAAGACGGGAAGATTGAGATGGATTACAAACGAACAACTGTAAAATGTCTGCCAAAATGTGCTTAATCCATGATATCACTTTAAGGTGACTACAGTTAGACCAGGTGCCCAGTACTCAGTGTGTAAAATTAATTTGTTTACTGTTCAGTCATTTTCAGTTGGAGTAAAATGTGAATAGAATAGCCCAATTTCGATATATTTAAATTCAGCCTAAACAATAGACCTTGGCACGAGGCTCCCGGGAATAAACCCCACAAACTCTGTAGTTATTCCCCACAGCCTCTGGTTGAGGTGTATTGTCTTAGGCTGAATTTTGGTCTATTATATTGAGTGAGATTCAACAAAAGAAGCATTATTACATTATGTAACCCTTGTGCGACATATTGTAGATTATCTCAGAAATATTGTAGATTATCTCTGAGATAGCAGCAGTTCTTTATTTGGAGTTTCGAATTAATTCTTTCAACAATTTCAAGTATCACTTACATGGCTGCTGTAAAGACAAGCTGGATCAAGGTTACCTTGGAGAGTCACTGTTGGGGCAACAATCCTACAAACGAAAAATAATTAAAGTTTAATTTAACACAATGACTTATAAGTGAAAAGATGACAAATAGTATGTCCTGGAGGACAAAAATTACAATGCACAGTAGTTGCAATAACCAGTGTCAAAATGCTCAGACTGCAAAACAGTCAAATGTTTTGCGAATGCGGGTGACAGGCAATATTCGAACAAAAGGTCTGGAGCGAGTGTAAAAAGGACGAAGGAGAATGGGGAGAGACGCTACAGCTCTTTGCGCCTTCCAAAACCGTCCAAAAACGACTGTTTTGCAGTCTACAAAATGCTGGGCTATTCTTTGATGTGATCAGTTGTCTAAATCTGCATCCTCTTCCATGCAAACTGATATCCTAGCAATCACCCAGACTCATGCACATATTCTGACAGTGTAGACAGTGCTGCCAGATAATTCAGGGTTCAGGTGATTATTTGTCAGAACACATCAATTAGCTGTCAAACCTTGCATCTTTAGGTGACACTGTCCAGTCCAAGCTGACGACATCGTAACCAATTTGTGATAAATCTTTAATGGCATAGTGAGCACCCTTAGCAAATATTGTCTGGCGAGAGATAAATTGAAAATTCCTGTTATAAAATAAGAGTCTTCTACCACTAGTTTTCAGTATGTAACACTTTGATATATTGATTGGTAGCTTGATTAAAAATCTGGGCATTGCTAAGCACTTCCATTTTTACACTTCTCTTGGCTTCACTTTTATTCAGTTTGTGGTTGGCAGCAAGGTTGGAGTTTTTTCCTAACAGTTTCGTTTGTTTTGCACATATAAAGAAGGCACCCATTTCACTAAAATGGTTGTGAATAATTCATTCAACACATCTTTATGAAAGGGCTGAATCTTTCTTATTTCAAGAGAGTGCTTACTTACGGAAAAGTACAAGATTGTGCAGAAATAAATTATATTTTATATTGTGAATTTCATTTACAAATTGTATGAGCCTTTAAAGTCTGGGCTTCTCTATCTGGAGTCAAGTGCTGTAACCATGAGGCCACTGCTCCTCCCTCTTTGTACAGACAAATTTGTAAATTATAGGTACTGACTTTCACTCAATATGTAAATCTATTTTTTGATGTGATTTATTCCTAATGTTCATAACATATAAGAGAGTACCCCCCCCCCCCCCCCCCCCCGGGGCCCCGGGGCATTTGCTCACGTTATCAGTCCCGGGGGCGGTTCTCCCAGGCAGGAAAAACTTTTTGAACTGAACTTTTTTCTAGCAAATACTTTCCTCCAAATGGTCACACCAGGCAGCAAAATCATCCTCAAAGCCAGTCAATTTGCTCAGTGCCTGACCCTTAATAAAAACCTAGAGACAACCAGGGAATAAGGTTGACCTGACACATTCCCATCACTGCCATGAAAGCCTGTCGCAGTGAGTTCCTATATCCTCACCATTGGCACAGCATCAGTGCCTAACTTTTCTTTCACTTTCTCTGCTATTTGTTTCAGGTAAGGCAGTGAACACAGTGTAAAAGTATCATAACCCAAAATTTCAGCATGAGATTCAAACACTTGAAGCATCTGTAAGAGAAAAGAAGGACAACAAAATGTTACAAATTTATGCACTTTCTTCCATATTTAATTATGGACACTTACTGTAAAGAATGCCCTGTGGAATTCTCCATGGATCATTATGACATTACATGTCACTAGGATGATTATTCATTGTCCATTTATAGGTGGAATCCCCTTGTTGGACATAAAAGTCTGTATTGATCAAAGTGGGGTGCTTTTTCTTTGCATAACTGACTTGTAAAATAATACTCTATAAAACCTACCCCTCTTATTTATATGTTTCTAAACAATTTTAAAATAAGACTACTTGTGGGCAGCACCCAACAGCAAATAATAATCTTGTCCAACTGAGTTTATTAATCAACCGGGTTTGTCTCCAAGTGAGACTTCGTCAGGATTAAACTACGAGATACAAAGATGGAACTTATTTTATACTAACTCTTTGTAGTACAACGTACGCTCCTACTATAGGGTGTGAACAATAAAACACCCACAAGAAACACATGCAGGATATGACTAAAATCCTGCACTAATAAATGCATTAGAAACTGTGCTCATGGATTTAACATTACATCCGTGAGCCCCACTTACAGTGTAGATTTTTTTTCTCACAATTGTGAAGCTTGGAATGCATAAGTATTGTTATTCAAAATTAATGTCAGCACCATTTATGCAAAGTGTCTATTCTTCCAAGCAACTCTTGAGCTAGATAGTTTCAACCACTTTATTTTTAATTCCTAAAGTGGTTGCCTATGAGAGCATCAACTGTATTACGTTTGAGTGACTACTGAGCACTATACATCTCATTATTTTGCATTTTGCAACTGATAGATATACAGATTTCCTTTCCTTGTTTCCTTCCTTTGTTTGCATTACATCAGTATTTTTATTTACCTGTGCACCAGCTTGGACCTGTAGCACCAAGTAGTCTACAATTAAATCTGTTAACTGTTGCAACAGCCGGCTGGAAGTCTGCAAATGCTGGTTCAAAAATTTACGAGCTTTGATGAATGTTTTGCTGCTTTCACCCTCAATCATGTAACACATTAGGGTCCACTGAAAAAGAAAATAGGCAAAAAAAGTTATAGTCAGAAAAAAGTCAGAAAAAAGTCAAGATTAAAAGTAACATCAATCATGTTCGACGCATCAAGCATCATTCTCAAGATTGAGATGATTAATGTCAATGTTCAGGTTGTTATGTACGAGTTGAGTTCGAAATGGATTGCATTCCAGTTTGCATGAAGTATGTAAATGCACTAAGTAAATCATCAGTGGATAACTTTGTGTAGGTCACTCAACGTGCAGTCCGGCTGACTCAATCCATGCAAACTTATTTACTGATAATTAGTACATTTACATACTTCACATATACTAGCATACAATCCATCTTGAACTCAACTCTTACAAAACAACTTTGACATTAAGGACCTCAATCTTGAAAATGATGTTTGTTCCACCAAAATGTCCATTGGCATTACTTTAAATCTTTATTGTCAAATGCTTTAGCAATCAACTCATTATCCGATCTCATAAAAAAGTTATAGTCAGAGAAAAGTCAAATAAAAGTTATGGTCAGAGTCAAGGCCTTGTACAGCCCATAACATGATAATGATAAAGAGTTAGGAGTATATTCAATCCACCCCCGGGAAAATGGCCAAACTAAATTGCCTCAGTCTGCTTTCCAGGACTGATTTGAAAAACTTTTCCCAGTCCCAACAAAATGTAAATTGGAGAGGAAGCAAGATCTTAAAATGAAGTCTGTCATTTTAAGTAGGTGGCATGGTACAGGTAGACCTTAAACATGATATTTTTGAGGCATCATTTGACAACAACTCCTCTAGTTTGGACAGTTGTTATTTAAATTTCAGTATGGTTTCAACAGTTAACCAATAAGGCAAAAACAAAATGAATTCTGGTAGCTGAAACACTGTGGTCAAATAATGACATTGTGCAAATACACTCTTAGGAGGTACTTTGAAATCTGAATAGAGCAGTGTGGGTTCAAATGTGGGTCAGTGTCACTAACTGGTCTTTTGGGCAAGGCAAGTCACTCTCAGAGTGTTCCTATCCGCTAAGTAGAATATACACAGGTTACTATGATTGACCAAGCATTTTTTTACATATTGTACATTTCCAAAAATATCCATACTTCCCTCACAGAAGGAATTGAAATTTCCTGGGGGTAGGGGGTTTCTGTTAGACCAAAAAATGTAAAGAAATGTATGACGCTTAATTAGAACTTCCAGAGGGGTTGGGGGAGGGGGGGGTTCCTAGAAAAAATTCCTTCAGTGGGGAAGGTATGGTTATTTTCTGGGACTACACATTAATGGGTGAGATGAAGTTGAGTGTTTGTCAAATGTCCCTTATATGTACCAGTTTCCAGGTCAAAATGCCAGGTTAGTTGTTATGCTAAAACTAAACCTTCTACAGCCGCAGAAGATTTCCTGTCCTCTCCTAACCCCAATGCTAACAACATGCAATAATCAAAAAAATCTTTTCCAACTGAGACTCTATCCATAAGGCCAGGGAAGCTTTTTTAATTCAAAAAGGCAGAACAATTGATCCCGATGGTCTGAACATCCACAAAGAAACATATTAATTGTTTCCTTTTATTATGTTATTTCATTATTTTATTTTACCAAACGCTTATCTTTAATTCACACTGTAAATTAGTTTTACATAATTATTTCCGGTATTACGCAAATATGCTACATAAAAACACGTCCCAATGTAAAATTCTCATTGTACCTGAAGAAGGCTGGTTTGGACAGCCAAATATAGTACACCTTCAAAAAAATCATCCTACGTTATGTAGGTTTCTGCTTTTATATTCTTCATTTTATGTGTGAAGCCAATTAGATCACTACTGATCCAACATAATACCAGCAGGATTATCGTTCCGGTTGCTTGCTCAAACATTTTATAGTTATGCTTTTAACTGTGGATAAAACCCTAATACGTTACCATTAAAATAGAAGCTTTCAAGAAGTACTGTCTGTTTATTTTCCAATATCTTTTAATTCTGAAGTAAAGGATAAAAAGATAGCATTTTCTCTATCCTTACTGGAGCTCCTGAAAAACCAATGAGAGGTACTCGTCCCTCCAGCTTGTGTCTTGTCAGAGTTATTGCACGGAAAACATATCCCAATGACTTCTCTAAATCTACTTCTTGTTTAAGTTTCTGTGGGGACAAAAATAATTAATAAGCTACAAATACAATTTTGTGAACAAAATTGGTAAATAGGTTGACTGAAAGACAATGGTCAGTAACTCAATGATCATGACCTCAATGTCACTTGGTTCTCGAAGGGGCTCTGGAAACACTGGACCCTAAAAATGGAGAGAAATAAAACATCAAATTACTTTCTATCCATCAATTGTCAACATTTAAAAATCAATTTTGTATCACACTCATCAGTAGTCAGAGAAATGAAATTCTCAAACTCATTAATAATTCATCAGGTACAAACACAGAAAATCACAACCGTGAAGGAGGTTTGGATACCTGGTCTTAATTAGCATAAATTCTGACAATTTTACTCCTCCATTTACTCCTTAGTTTTTGTTTCAATTGAGAAGATATATCAAACACTCAAGACAGTGTTTCATCGGC